TGAGGAAGGGTGGTGAGTGCTGGAACAGGGTGTCGGCGTGAGGGTTACCACCTGCACGGGGAGCCTCACAAATAGCGTTCCGTCCAGTGTCTTGTTCTCCTAGACAATTGCTACAACATGCTGCTGCTAACGCCCAGCCGTCCTGCAGAGCCTCGCCTATGCCAAGTCTGCATCCATGGTATGCACAGCCCAGGGACCCAGCGCTGGACGCTGCTCTAGGGCCCTGATCTGACCACAAGTCTCAGGGCTCCCATGACCGCTGCGAGTCTCCCTTGTGTCAGGCCAGGCCGCTCCCTTGACCAAAATCTCACAGTGCTTTCCCACGGCTTTTAGAACGCTACCCGCACTCCTTGCTTCACCTGACAGAGTCCAGCTCTGGTGTGGCCCGTCCCCCTCTGGCTTCTTCTGTGACCATCTCCTGCACTCTCGTGGACCTGCCGCAGTGGCCATCCTTCCCTTCCTTGAAGGCACCGTACTTGTTCCCACTTTGCTTTGGCTCCTCCTTCTGTCCGGAATGCTCCCTCTCCGTTCTCTCCCTCAGGTCTCAGCTCCCATGCTCCTCCTTCGCGAGGTCTTCTCGGACCCTCCTCTCTAAAGAAGCTGCCTCCCTGTCACTCTTGATCACATCGCCATGTTTACATTCTTCATATTCTTTTTTAAAAATATGTTTTTATTGATTTTTTAGAGAGAGAGGAAGAGAGAGAGAGACAGAAACATTGATGTAAGAAAAACATCGATCAGCTGCCTCCTGCACGCCTTCCCCTCCCCACAAAGGGGATCGAGCCCAAAACCCGGGCATGTGCCCTGACCGGGAATCAAACCGGGATCCTTCAGTCCATGGGCCAATGCTCAATCCACTGAGCCTCGCCAGCTGGGCTCTTCATATTCTTTTGCTTACTTATTCATTTCCTCTCTTCACTGTAATTTACACATTATGAGTACAGGGACCTTGTCTGTCTTGTTCTCCAGTGCAGGGGACAATGCTTGGCATGTGTGTATTTGCAAAATGAAAGGATAAATGTACACCCTGACCCTGGGAGAGGCAATTAGAGCGTCAGTGAGAGGGTGACCTCTGTTGTCAAGCCGCCTCCACCTGAATCCCCCTCTGTCACTTAAATCCGTATGTCCTTGGTCAGGTTACACAGCCTCTTTCTTTCCATTTTATTACCAATCAAATGAGGACAATAACAGTACCCACCTTGTAGAAGTATTGTCAGATGGCTAATGTACTTAGTGAAAATCGTTGTTGTTTTTGTTGTTATGTACCTGCCAAAGTTCATAGCCCATGACCATTTCCTTGACTTATTTACAAATCATACTGCAACTTCCGCTTTCTGATCAGACATGCAAAGAGCTTAGAAGTAGTCACTCCTACTCTTACAACAAGAAAAAAAAAGCCAAACAAACTGAAAATCAACAACTCTTCTTAGATTCATCAAAGAATGGAGGTCACAGGTAAACCGTTGCCCCTAAAACTTAGAGAGACAAGCAGGCAGCCTCAGAGAATCACAGCCTACTCCAAGCAGAGACCCGGGAGCAAAAGCCGGAATGGGTAAGAATACGTTAAACTATAATTGATGAATTACTAGAGGCTTATTGTGGACAAGCTTGAGAATTAAAAACTCCTAGAGAGCTCAGTCCTAGGGCTCCACACGTTCATGAAGTTTACCTTCAGAAGCCCCACCCGGTTCTCCCCATGAAAAGCTAGAAAAATTCCCCTTCTCTTCGAGCAGGAAAGGAGAGAAGTAACTGTGTTTGAATCCTCAGCAAGATCTGTCCTCAAGAGAAGCTATTTTACTAGAACCCAATCAACTGAGTTTTACCAAAGCCTGACTGACCTGTGGCGAGGGAAATACTCAACTCAGGGTCACCACCAAGAATGAAACCCAATCACAGGACTATAGAATGTTTCCCCATTATCTCCACATCAACAGAGCTTCTGTATAATAACAGGGGATTTCAACGGAAAGAACTGAAGGAGAACTTAATCTCTATTTAAGAAGTCTCTAGGAAAATCCAAAGGCAACAGCAGAGAGACATCTTTTCAGACTAAAAGTACTTCCACCTTTTCCACTATTGCCCCCTGCCCAATACATACATCCTCTACCAAAAAAAGAGAAGAGGGAATTTCAAATGTTTAAGTCCCAATTTTAAGAAGATTATTTTTCATGATCAAGGTCTTATTTGCAGCATCTAGCAAAGCCCTGCTGATCCTCAGAGATAACCTTGGCATTTGTCCATTTTGGCCTAAGACATGACATTTTGATGGAAGAAAGCAGAAGAGAATCCTTAAAACTATCTTAAAAAACCCAGGACATCAAAGGGAAACTAAATCAATGACTCTGCATTAAGTCAGGGCTATGGGTCAATACCCCAGACTGGCAGATCACAGCACAATTTTTACTTTCCCAGGTGGTTCTCTTCCTGTGGTTAAGTGGTCTGGATTGACTGGATTCTTGCCCTCTGACACAGTTATGCACCGTATGGGAGCTGATCTTACAGATACCTCTCACTGAGGTCTAAGTGACATTGTTTAAAATCCCAGACCCACGAAGCACTGACATTTCCACTGGGAAACTGTGGAAATTCTAATATCCCACTAAATAGAAGTCTCCATGAAGGCAAGGACTGTGACTGTTTGCTAATCACCAAACTCACTGTGCTCAGCTCAGTGCCTGCCACATAGTAGGTGCTCAGTAAATATTTGTTGAATAAAAACAATCCACCACCAATGAATGTGGCCCTGGAAGAGGCAGGCATAGTTCAAGTTGGATTATTTCTATAATACTTTAAAAAATTATGAATGTGCCCTGGCCGGTTTGGCTCAGCGGTCAGAGCGTCGGCCCATGGACCAGAGAAACCTGGGTTCAGTTCCTGCTAAGGGCACGTACCTTGGTTGCAGTTTGTCCCCGGGCCCGGCTGGGGTTGCGTGGGTGGCAACCAGTCGACGTGTCTCTCTGACATCGATGTTTTTCTCTCTCTCTCTCTCTCTCCCTCTATCTGAAGATAAATGTAAAAATGTCCTCGGGTGAGGATAAAAAAAAATCATTAATGCATTTACAAACAATCATTGAAGGTTTCCTCTATGATAGGCACTAAAATACAGAAATAAATTAGATGGTATGCCAATTCTAATAAAGAACAGAGGGAATAATATTCTCTGAGCGCTACTATAATCTGGGCACTTTTTACTCATTGTTCCACCCTCCCAACAGCTCTGTGAGATCGGTATTATTACCCTGTCCCCTTTGCACTGAACGGAACGGAGACTGGCACCAAGGCCCACATCCAGCAAACGGCAGAGCCCAGAATTTATTCCAGGACCTGGGCCTACAATGGACTTTCTCGCCAAAGTAAATGTAAAATCACCATGTGATGCTCTGTTATGGGATGTTTTGTTAAGGACACTTAGGTTCTCAAAAACTGAGTTATTAACAAATATTTTCACCGGGAGAAGAGGTTTAGGCTCTCAATTTCAAGTTATTTATGTTGGGAAAAAATTGTAATAATAGAGGTGCTTTAGACTTATACGAGTAATTGGAGGCTAAAAATAATAAACTGCTTGAACAAAATAAATGAAAATTACTGAGTTAAGTCCTAAATAGCATCTAAGACCTAGGTCAGTGAGTTTCTGAATTATTATTATTATTATAACAACTTATTGTTATGATAAAGCACAACACGGAACTAAGACAGTTGAAGTCAAAATAAAGTGCAGCCTCGCTCACACTGCCAGTGTGAACAAAACACGAAACCAAGAAGCTGCTAACTCCTCCTCTGTGCACCACAGCTCCTACCCTAGGACCCTGGTTCTAATTCACGGCTGTGCTCGAATGAACCTGTAGGTATTCAGAATATGAACTGTGTTCCCTAAGTGATCTGTTGTGTTAGGTCCTACTAGCTTTATGAATGCTCCGACTGCAGGAGGGAAGCCTGAAACAGGGACTTGAATTCTTAGACACAAGAGCAATGTGGAGAAATGCTTAGGGTCAGGCTGTCTTGTAGGCATGGGAGGCCCATTGCGGAGATGCATGTCTGAGGGTCACAGAGAAGCTCCTGGGTTGCTTGTTTCCTTGGACCCTAAAGCAGTTTGGGGAATTGCCATTTCCTCCCAATGGGTGAAAATGCGCTGAATCTGGAATCCTCTGCACTTGTGTATGGGCAGAAACTTTGAAAACAAGTTGTTCCCATTCAGCCTGCCTGGATCAGACAAGGAATTAGGAAAACAGAGATCCATGATCACTCCAAAATTCCAGAAGCTCAGAAAGTGACCAAGCTGGTGGGACATGGTGTAGGACCGGAATAGTCCTAAGAATGATGGCCCAATCCTAGCGCAGTGGTGACCCTCTCTTACATTTTTATATTCCTTGCAATTTTCAGTGGTTTTATAACAACTCTGAGAGCGAAGTCACATTTGTGTTTTTACAGATGAAGAAACTGGAGATGAGTAAGTGATTCACAGCTAGCAACCATCCAACTCAAATCCTGAGTTTTCTGACTTCATGTTGCATAGACTTTCCCCTACAAACCTAGAGGGTGACCTCAGGAATATGCTTTGTAGGAGTAGTGGCTTTGTATCAGACCTGCATTTGCCTACCCTAGATGTTCCATATTTTAGTCATATAATTTGGGTACACTCTTTAACTTCATTAAGACTTAGTTTCCTCATGTGTGAAATGAGAACACACATAACACCTAACGCACGGGACTGCTACAAGGATCAGATGCAACATGCACACGCGTACTCAGCACGGACCCTGGCTCTCGTCAGAGCTGGACAACTGTGGAGGGCCCCAGGGCATCCTGAGGGCATGAACTCTGGAGGGGGGAATCTCCTTTCCTCCTCTGTGGTGCAGCATGTCTTGAGCCACAAAGTCCCCCAGTGACAGTTTACAGTATGTAAAGCTACAAGGAGATACAACTTGGGACAGACAGGGAGTACCTGGGGCCCGAGCACCAAGCCTAGAATGTGTGTGGAGGAATGTGCACTCCATTCCCACCTGGAAGGCCATGGAGTTGGCAGCAGCCAGAAATATCCTCAGAGGCAGCTTGGCCTTATAGGACCTGTGGCTCCACAAGCGATGGGCACCAGCTGTCACGCCCAGAGCAGTCAGGAGGAAGCAGAAGTAGGCTGCAAGACACAAGCGGGGAGAATGTCAGCAGATGTCAGAGAGCTTTAAACATCCCCATGCTTTTTCTCCTGAATAGGGACCCAGGTGAAATGGTGTCAGGAGAAGAACCTGCAAGGTAAAGAATCAATAACTTGGAAAAATGTAGACTTTTATTGGTTTGTAGCTTTGCAGTATCAGACAGAGCGAAGAGAACTTTCCCTAAGAAACATTAACCTTTGAGCATCATTTATTCTATATCAAACACATCTTTAATTTGCTAATGTTTCTTGCTAGTCTCGATGCAAAATTACAACTATATTCATGTGCATTTGTAGTTTAGTCTTGCACGTCCACTCTCGGTAGGGCTGAGGTTGATCTCTATGTTGCCTCTTAATTGGCACCCATGCCAGGATAAAGTACATGAAGAGCCTGTTTCCAAGTGGCAGCGTCCTTATCATGGCTTCACAGACCTTGGCTTGAAGGAAATCGGGCCAGATCTAAAAGCAATGAAGTCTGGCTCCGGGCTAGTAGGAAAAAAGTGACATCAGGGACAGCTGAGGTTTGTTGTCTAGGGATCCTCACTTAAACCATCACTATGACCTGGGCTGGCAAAGATGGCCAGATAAGGAATTTTTAAAAAGCCAACCTATTAGAACTCATTATTATCTCTAGTCCTAACAACCTGTGTTACTGTCTCATTTTACAGTTGAGGTCAACTAGATCCCCTTAATTGAATCCTACATGTAAACCCAAGTCAGCCTGGTTCTAGAGTCTCTGCCAAAGACCCCATGCCACCCCCAGGTAGTAGTGGTGGTTGGCTCTGCGTATGGCGACTTGGGAGAGGTTATAAATGCACGGTGGGAAGGGTCACACAGGGACCAAAACAATCATGATTCCTGAGGTTGTCACAACTACAATAGTGATTTTCAAGCAATGTGCCCATATGATCGTCTTCTTATTAAAACACATCAAACAATCCCTTTGAGTTTGTATTATTATTTGCCCCATTCTACAGATGAGAAAATGGAGGATTAAAGAAGTGAAGTAATTTAAGTAATTTTCCAATGTCATAAAGCTAACAGTCAAACCCAAGTCCCTGAACGAAGAACCAAGTTCCCATCCTCTACATGCCCCTTTGCTTCTCAGGTAAGTTTTATCTTCATTTTTCTATACTGTCATCCTTAATAGTTGATCCCAATCTAAATTTAGAAGTGAGTTGCTTCCTGACTTGGGGGTAGAGCCCTAACTCAGGTTCTAAGCAGGTAGGATCGGGCAGATTATTCTATGAATTGCTTCTAGCACTTAGCATAGGCAGGGCTCTCCATAAAGAACCACCAAAGAACAAGTGATCAGCTGTGAGTACATCCCCAAGCAATTGTGAATGGTCCTATACCAGGTCTAGTACTTCAAGGAAGTACTGTAGTGCTTCCTTGAAAGAATTCCTAGGGAACCTTCAGGGTCAATATACATATATAAAGGAAGCACATTACTTCTTCCAAAAGTTATGTCTAAATGATCTTGATCCCAATCCAAGATCAAGATCCAAGATCCCATGGATCTAAAGACAAGCCTTATCCTTGGCACTAAGATTAATCAGTCTCTGAATACATGTGGTTTTCATAAACTTGACAAATCATTCCTTACTTGAAAGGTTAAAAACAAAAGTCAACAATCTGCCCATAAATCATGGAAAGTAGTAGTATATAAACAGTTCTGGCCCTTTTTGTTAATGTAGTTTAACCTTGGTCATAAGCCCATGAAATGGGCAGCTATTTTTCATGTCATCCCTTGGGTTAGATAAGAGAATTTATGGGCTGTTCCATTGACAGGACTCAGTTTTCCAGTTTTATTTTATTTATTTATTTTTTTTTATCCTCACCCGAGGACACTTTTCCATTTTTTGTTCAGATAGATAGGGAGGGAGAGAGAGGAAGAGAGAGCGAGAGAGAGAAACAACGTGAAGGGATACATTACATGGTTGCCACCCACATGACCCAACCAGGGCCGGGGACAAACTGCAACCGAGGTATGTGCCCTTAGTGGGAACCAAACCGGGGTCTCTCTGAACCGCAGGCCGATGCTCTAACCACTGAGCAAAACAGGCCAGGGCCAATTTTCCAGTTTTAATAAAGCTAATCTGAGAAGTTCCTAACCTCTCTTCTATGATCTTTGTGGAGATTAACATCCAAACTAGTTTTGATGGATGCATGCCAGCTGGCTCTGAGGCAGTTAAGTATTCAGATACAGAACTGATAATTTAAAAAATAATAATAATAAAGGAGTAATTTGCTGTGTTAATAACTCACAGTTAAAGGAGCTAGATCAATAGAAACCAGATTCACAAAAGTATAGAACTGTGGGCAAGTATAGATGGTCCCTGACTGATGATGGTTCCACTCAACAATTTTTGGACTTTATGATGGTGCAAAAGCAATATGCATTCAGTAGCAACTGCACTTCAGATTCTGAATTTTGATCTCCTCTGGACTAGCAATATGCAGTACCGTACTCTCTCGTGGTGCTGTTCCCAGTCAGGCACGAGATCACGAGGGTAAACAACCAATACAGTGTACTTGTTGCCGGGAGTTTTTGGATTTTGTTTTTGTATCCCATCAAGTCTACAAAATGCTCATCTGTGTCTCCTGCTTCTAGTGAGAAGAAAAAAAAAAGCAATTACTCTTGAGATGAAACTCAGGATGTGTGCCCAACTGCAGGCTAATGTAAGTGCTTTGAGTACATTTAAAGCAAGCGAAGCTAAGCGATGACGTTCAGTAGGTTAGGTGTATTTAAATGCATTTTCGACTTACGGTATTTTCAACTGACAAAGGATATACCAGGTCGTAACCCCATCGTAAGTCAATGAGCATCTGTACGTTGGTCTGAATGCAAAAGTGTCACCAATTCTGATTAGCGCAAGCCACAACCAAATGCATTATAAAGTTGTTCAGTATTGGTAGCCTACAGAACTCATGGCAGGGTTGTAGGACAGTTTTGGTACACAGCCTCCACAATGGCCCCAAAGCACCCCACCTCCCAGTATTCATGGTCTCGTCTCCCCTTAAGTAAGTTGCTTCTAACCAAAAGAATATAGCCACATCGAGGGAATGTCATTTCTTGTTAGATCACAAAAGACTGTGACTTCTGCTCTGCTAGCAAATTCTCGCATTGGCTTTGACGAAGTAGGGTAAGACGTTGGGGAGCACCATGGGACAAGGAACTGAGGGTGGCCTTCACGCAACAGCCAGCAAGGAAATGAGGCCCTCAGTCCAACAACGCTCAAGGGTCCGAGTCCTGCCAGCAACAACATAAGTAAGATTGAAAGCGGAACTTTCCTCAGCTGAGCCTTCAGGTAAGACCCTGCCTTGACTAGCACACGGTGCCTCAGAAGAGATTCTGAAGCAGAGGACCCAGCTCCGCTCTACCTGGATTCCTACTCCCTAAAAACTGTGAGAAAATACATGTATGTTGTTTTAAGCTGATAATTTTGGGGTAATTTGTTCTGTAGCAGTAGGCAACTAATGCAAGCCTTCCCAAGGGAAGGAAGGTACCATTTAAATTCTAGTTTAAGAACAATTTTCTATCTATAGGAACAAAAAGCAGATGCATGTTGCCTGGAGCAGGTCGGGGAGAGGGGAGTGACTGGCAATGGGTACAGGGTTTTTGGAGAAAAGGGTGGTAAAAATGTTCTATACTTGATTTTGGTAATGGTTGCACAATTCTGTGAATACAGTAAAAACCAATGAATTGTACACTCAAGTAGATTGGTTGTGTGGTATAAGTTATAGCTCTATAAAGCAGTTATTCAAAAATTACTGAATTCCTGCCCTGGTTGGTTTGGCTCAGCAGTTGGAGCGTTGGCCTGCGGACCAGAGGAGCCCGGGTTCAGTTCCCGCTAAGAGCACGTAACCTCGGTTGCGGTTTGTCCCTGCCCCGGTTGGGGTTGTATGGGTGGCGGCCAGTCGATGTGTCTCTCTCACGTCGATGTTTCCCTCTCACGTCGATGTTTCTCTCTCCTTCCTGGTCTGTCTGAAGATAAATGAAAAAATGTCCTCAGGTGAGGATAAAAAAAAAAAAATTACTGAATTCCTATTAAATTTTGTTCCTTTGTATAATTTCTCAGTGTAAAATAAAATAGACATGTCACAAAACAAACAAAAACAAAAACCAACCATTTGCCTAGGATGCCACCATAGGCATCATCACCCCTGGACACTTGGAACCATACTCATGTCGTACCATGGGCCCTTAAATCTTCCACAGTGGCCAAGAAGAGTCTCTCTTTGACCTTACGCCTATGCCTGAATCTATCAAGACCCAAGATCACAAAACCCAGGCTTTAGCTGCCAGCAACAGAAGAGGGAGAATCCACAGCCCCTTGGCTTCCACAGGGGAAAGCAGAGCCTCCTTCTATCCTGAGTGCCCTCCTGGAGCAATGTTCAGAGAAGGACTGCGGTGACCCCCTCTGGACCATGCAACCAGAAAACACCCTGGAGAAGTGCTAAGAACTGCCGAAATGCTCAGAACCAAAAATTAAAACTCCCTTAATTCTAGACCTGGTCAGAGAGAGAGATGGACAACACCCTTCAAGACCCATTCCTGAGGACTAGACAAAGGAAGCAATTGGCAGAGCCCTTTTACCCTTGCTTATCATCTGTGTCTCGTTAGGATCATAGTGAAAGCTAAGGCTCCTGTTGACTGAGAGCTTCCCATGTGCCAGGCCCTGCTTGTTCTAAGCACTTCATACATAATAACTCACTGAATACTTTGCTCACCTCAAGTATAGGGGGTAGGTAATGTTATGGTCTCCATTCTGTAGATGAAGAAAACTAGACAGAAGTGATCCAGCCAGGATATAATCTAAGGTAGGAAGAGCACATACCCTGAACACCCTGCTGGCTGCCTGACCCCTGGAGGCGGCCAGAATTCCAATGGAAGGAGCTTGGATGCATCATGTCCCTTCAGTCAGCTCAAAACACAAGCTGAAGGTCAAACCCTTGTTCTGTATTTTGCCTTTACCAGC